AAAGGGCCCCCAAGTTGGAATGCAGCATCAAGATGTTGAAGAGGAGGTAATTGGAGAGGGGGAAAAAGACATTAATCCAGGTGCAGAAGAAGAGGGCGATCTGACCGATGGTTGTGCCCATGATGTTGAAGTAGAACAATGCACTCAAAACTGGAAAGCAGCCTCTGCAGATAATAAAAAGAAAATGTAGGCTATATTTGACAAGAGTGGGGTATTAGCAGGAGCATGTCGACATGGAATGATATTGTGGTTGGTAGACATGATCAAGAGTGGCAAACTGTAAGCTCAGCTCATAGCCAAATTTAGAAACTCATGCTGATCATTTTCTCTTTCTCCTACCTCTCCCTTCTCTTACAACAGTGCAAAGTATCCACTTGTGTTTCTCTCAAAAGCTCTGGATACTCTCAATCCCAATTCCCTCAGTGCATATGATATTGGATGTAGCTTCTCATCCACTGTGAAGTGGTCAAGTCTTGGTAACACCTTCAAAGAGAAGAACTTTACTCTCTGTGTCAATGCATTCTACGGCTACACTCATAACTGTCAATGTCAACTTTGTAATCACCCGAATGTTATTGAAGGGATTAGACTTGAAGATTTAGAGATCATGGAATGCATTTTCAGTGCATCGAACCATCTTGCTTCTGTCATTCAGTATGCATCCCCTTTTCACCGTCGTTTGTTTATTCACCTTTTCTTTTAATAATGGGATACAGAAAAATATACCAACAGTGGAACCTTCCTGTACAACAACATCTGCCAAAGTCAAAAGATTATCGAAAAAGATACTTACGCCCTTCAAGATGCAATGACTTCTCTCCAAATCATGGATTCCGACCTCAATCATTGGGAGAAGGAGGAGGTTGTCTACTTTTTGACTTTCAGAAAAGAAGATCCCGAAAACACTCACGCTATCACATATGTAGAGCTTCTCAATGAACTATATAAACTAGAGAGTCAATGGAATAACACGACCACTTCATTCATAAATTCGGTATCCAATGATTTTATCTTTGTCTCTGATGGCCCACCAACATTACCATCTTATGCAGCCAATGCTGCAGCCACTGTGCAACTGGAATGCAACCGTAGACTTGCTTTGGAGCAGTATAATCGAGTTTTAGCAGATGTTATCAAACTGGAAGTGCATCTCAACATCCCTCACCATTGGATGCATGCTTCTTCAGAGTATCTACAAACAATCAAGTACATCACTGAACATAAGTACCACAAGGCCCTTGACAACCTATAAAAGCTTGTGGTTTAATAGCTTTTTGAACTTCACAAACTGAATATATCGCAAACTGGTTTGTCGTACTTCTTTGCTTTTTATAATATCTTCTGAGTTTTTATGCTAGGTTACAAGCTCCGAACCCACCTCTCAAAGTCATTACAAATGTGATCGAAAGCTATCCAGAATGCTATAGCAACTTATAATATGGCAGCCTCTGCAATCAGATGAGGAAATCTGGATTGGAAATGGGTCTCGAAGTATGAGTTTCTTGAAGAGTTCAACCTGCTGCAAGAGATTCGAAACAATGTGCAAAGCAAGGAGTGGACCAAGTCCGCTGTTCGTGAAATCATCAAGTTGCACTGTCGTATTCACCACACTCATGAAGAACTTGTATGATGTAACATTGAAGTATACCATTTACACACCACTATCGCAGATAAAACTGTCCTATTCACCACATTAATTCAAACTCTACAAGACTCTAATGATCCTCTTTTTGGTGCAGTACAAGATTTTGTCCTACGGTGGGTGGCCATCAATACTGTAATCATGTGTCGTATTAACAAGATTTACAATCTCTGTGGTTTCAGTGGTGTAAAGGGACCAGGAACTCGTATTGGCCAGACATCTATTGTGTGACCAGTACAACAACCAACTAGTACATCTGAAGAAGGGGAAGAGGACAGTGAAGAGGAGAAACCAGATGATGAGTACACTAACAATCAGATAGATGGTGTTTTAGAATTCATTTCTTTCAGTGGCTAATACCAGTATAATCTTGTATTCATGATAATAAAAGCTATGGTGTGATGTATCTTACATGTGCTCTCTACATAAAGGTCAATACTAGGGTATGTATGGTAAAAGACTGACAAAAATCTGACCAGAAATGATAAAGATATGAGAAAATGGCAAAGGGAACATCATGCTCACTGTTGACGACAGCGAGCAATACATGTTGATAGACGGTAGTGCCAGCAAAGAAGGGTTTGATGAGAGGGAGGTGGAAACGATGGAGGAACTGATGATGAAATGCTGATTTCATGCTGTGCCTGAAGGATCTCAGATCACCGGTACCCAGTAGATAAAAGATGTTCTGGAGCTCGAGAATAAGACATTACTCTACATGGATATAAGCTCTATATGGTGCTATTCTAATAATTAACAGGCAGTCTCAGTAGATTCGAAGTCTCAGCCTAGTTAGGCTTACCCATTAGAGTGCATGGACAGACCTTATTAGGCTGGGAAGTGATGAGGTCCAGGTGCTCCCTAATCATTCAGTGGTTGAAACTGAATGTTAGTGTCATGGTGGCTGTTTTGCAGTAACTTGCATAGATTCCGATCCCAGTCACCAATGCACCTGTCCAATTTGTATCATTCTACAGCCACTCTCATGTATAGTCTTTTGGTGTATTCAAGGTAATTATAACTCTATCCAGATCATAAATACTGTGTAAAACTGATATTTCTAATGCACAACTGAATGCCTCTTTGGGATACAATCTCTCTGATCACAGATGAGATCAAACTCGTTCGAGTAAAAGCTAAGGAGCTGAAGCGTACCATAGATATTCAAGCTGAAAAGGAACTACAGCCTCTCTTTGAATGTTACAACTCCTGCACTCCAATCTTAAGACTTCCTAATAAACTTCTTCTCGAAGTTTTTTTACTTGTAGGTGCTATTGAATTTTGGCCTCTGGTACAAATCACTCAAGTCTATCAATGATAATATGCGATCACCACTTAGTCAAACACATATTGGTCCACTCAGTCTCTTGTACGTAGACCGTAGCATCTAGCATTTCATGGTAGATCAGGGAATACACCAATTACCACTTTAATGAGTATCAACTTACCTCAGACCCTCTCTAATGTCATCAAAAATATGCTACAAATATTATCTCAACTTCATTCAATCTGCATAGATACACCTAAAAATAATCATTGTTTAACCTCCGCGGAATGCAAAACATTATGGAACTCATTTCAGATGACCCTTATATTAGCCTCCTCTTCCATTGAATCCATATCATTGGATCTGGAGCTGAATGCTCATATCAAATCATTCATGAACACTCATCCTTTCCCTCATCTCAAAGCTCTCAAATTGTCATGCTATAGCTTCACATAAGATTTTTCACTTTTCACATCTACCATTTGATATCTTACTTTGACAATTGGTGAACAATCTGGCTATAAGTTGGACTGTCTTTATACAGCTCTTCAGAAGATGACATACATTCACATCCTCGAATTGAGATTTTCAGTAGATGTGGATTAGCAACTTCTATAACTTTGGTCAACCGAGGACTACACAACACCAAATGATTCTTTTGATGTGAAAGTCGAACTTGAGTATCTTAGAAAATTTGCAATTGAGGGAGAGTTGTGTCTAGTTTCCAGAATCATGACAGATATTCAGATGCAGCCCAAAACCAGATTGGACATCTCTTGCTCATTCAATTCTCACCAACCAAGGTTGTTGCAGCATCAGCCTATTATCCCATCTCACCACGAGTACCACACTCTCCTTTATAACCTCACTTGAAGCCTTGACATATTCAATGCTGGAAAAAGGAACGTTCTACAGACCGTTGACCTTAGGGGCTTCGAGTCAACTTTATTTTCTTCAGGGTATAAAGAATCCATTAGATTAATCACCTACTCTTGTCAAGTCCTTCCTATCCACTATACTCAAAAATCTACAGATTAGGGTTTACCACATCAATTCTTCTTTGATTCTGTGAATCCTGTTTTCATGCTTAAATCAGAGAAACAACCATTGACAGAGGCATCATCACAGGATCGTATTGAAGATACTGAAGATTGAAATTTTCTTACAAGGTTTCTTATTGTATTAAATTCTGGCAGCGATCTTTAAGAAACCTCGAAGACAAACCCTCAAGTCTCACTCTCAATTTATATGTCCTGGTCACATGACATCTTTGACACCATCGAAGTTCTGTATCTAGGAGGAATCGAGAGTCTCAAGGATCCCAATTTACTTTCGCTTTTCAATAATGTTCAGATTTTGACCATTGAAGGTCTAACACTGTTGCATACTATTCTGCCTCGCTTAGTGGGTCGCTCCTCACAGGCAGGCAAATGCCTTATGAAACCTTTATTCTCTAACCTCAAAACCCTTGTTTGCACTGAATCACCTCGAACATCAGCAGACCATGAATTCCAAGAACCTGACATACTTAGACATGACCACATCGATCTATACAAGAATCTCTTAGAAATCGTCATACAATGAAATGGATCAGGATCCACTGGTACCATGAAATCCACTTCTGGTTGCCACTCCATCTCATTATTGGAAGAAATTTATCTCATCCAACATTTCCAAGTTCAATGCATTACACAGTTGAAGTGTTCTGAAGGTTAGAAGGAGGATTTTGTGGAGATAAATAAAAGGTTGATGGAGGTCATTGAGAAATATAAGGTTCAAGTTGTTTTGGATCAGGAGTGGCAGCAGACTGCCTATGTCTCTTTATATAGGGAGAAAGTATAGGATGTTGAGAATGTTGCTTTCATTCTCTTCTAAACTTGGGAAGAAAGAAATTTCATTTACTAGCCATTTACAAATCATCTTTCTTGATTTGTCTTGAATTCATGTTTTAAAATACTATTAAGCCCACCACTTTATTTGTCATATTTGCGAATGTTACCTCCAGATCGTTTCGACCTAATATTCCTCTCGGGTCTCCAACGTTCCAGCACCCAAAAGGCTTCTCTAGCAGCCATTCGGGAAAGAAAAAAACTCCGATATGGGGAATCGAACCCCGAGCTACCGCAAACCTCCCTATGAAAGGCGGTAATGTTAGCCGTTACACCATATCGGATTGAAAATTTGTCAGCTGTTTACTGTTACGGCGCATTACATAGTCACATGCCTTTGAACCTCGTGATGCTTCAATTGTGGTGCATTGTTTGTTCAACCGTGACACGATCACTGGCACAGTGGCCACTCTTGAGAAAAAGTTGGGCTATATCATGAGTGCCTCTCTTGATGGTAGAAGAAAACATTACACCACCCTGGAAGCGACAGCAAGGATAGTTGTTGATGACATACTTAAGTATATGTTCACTACTGAACACGAAGTTACTTCAGCACTTATAAAGTGAGTACTTTTGATGCTACAAAACTCATGATTTTGGTTGAAAGTTTGTCGTAGGATGGAGGAGACGATCAGAATGCCAGCAAATATAACGACATCATATATCCTTCAACAGCTGAAGGACACGCAAAAGCAGGAGGAGCTTGAAAATAAGATTAGGACGATAGATAAATCCCTTGACACACGTGCTAGGTTGATATTGATGACACATACCGCACTCGTGGAGAATATGAAGTTTGAATCTCCGGACAAACTTATAGATGGCGTTGGGACCCAAGCTGAATTGGATGAAGTGAAGTACTATTCCCTGGAGCTTTCAGGGCAATTTTATATGTTCAAGCCAGCTGGCACTTCTTGTCACCAGTCCATACGGATCGCCATCGGGGAACCTCCTCGCACGAAATGTAACGCCATGGGAGTGGCAAAGATAGACAATGCCCTCGAAAGTCTTTCTCAAACAGAGCTGAAGAAGTACATAGAAGATGCCACATTTGAAGAAAAACCAAAATTCTACACGAATTCTCTTCCGAAGCGCAAGCTGACTGAAATACGGACTTCAAAGACTATGTTCGAAAGGGCGGCGAGGAAGACATATTCGTACAACAACGAGGATATCATCGATAAAGCGGGCATAACAGTGAGGAATAACGCACATCTTCTTTCATATATTGCTCCAAAGCTGACAATAAACCAATTACATGGGAGAGATGCCGACAATATTGAAAGGAAGACCTTGTTTTGCCGTTGCTCATCGATCATCAACGAGGATAAGAGAGAGTCGGAAAATGAATATCAAGTCAAGAATCGGTGCAGTCTGAATTGCGTAGCTGCTGTTATGTACCTCCACGATGTCATTGGAATCATCGACTTCCCTATATGGGGTGTCTATGTTCGTGGGGTTGAAGCTAGAGTCATGATGGTGTGGATGTCGTCTGGGAATGAAGGGAATCAACAGGCAAAGACTCAGAGGGATCCAGAGGTAAGATGATCTGTGACATGTGACTGTTGAGCATTATCGTCGGATTACTTATGCATGTCTCTCTCTTCCTACTAGATATATGTCATGGAGACCAATACTCGAAGCTTCCGGTTACAAGATCCTCTCGATGCCATCAATTTCTTGACCTTTCTCCTGAGAATAAGGAATGAGATGAGCGAGAAACTCGAAAAGGAATTTGAGAAAGTCAGAGAGACTTTTCTCAAGAAAGCTGTGGCTGGCAACTTCAACTGGATTCGTACGCATCAGTTGAAAGAAATGATGGAATGTGGTGATGCTGATATTGAGAGATATGCTACGAAGAGAATGGCAAGGGACAAGGATGAAGCTAAAGAGAATGAGGAAAATGACACAGAGGAAGTTGAACAGGACTGAATGGGACTCATTCTGGTGCTATTGAATTGTTGCCACGAAACATATTCATATTTAGCCTAGATGAACGATTACTGCTCTCAATGATTGTACTTATTTCATCCTTGATGCGTGCTTGAATACCTTGGATACGTGAAAATACGAATGACGAGAAAGACAATTGTCCGAATAGATAATAGAGTCCCAATTGCACACGTACTTAAAGTACAAGTATTTCAGAGCGGGCCGGCAGGCCCGACTGAACTCCGAGTCCATACTTAGTACTCAGTTTGTTCAATCGAGCAGGACTTACACTACGAGCAGGTCTTCTTGTGCACCTTGTGATGAGGTATATGAGTGCTGATTCTGAAAGACCTCATGATCAGTGCAGAGGCCATTTTGCTCGGTCTAGTACTCAATTAGCTCACCGATGGCCCGTTCTCCAAGTATCCACCAACTCGCAAAATCTTGTGCAGAACTGCTCAAAATGGACTTTTCTCAAGAATTCGAACTCAGACCAGATATTCACAACACAAAGAGTGTATGTATTAAAAATCACAAATTGACACAACAACAAAACAAGTAACGAACGAATCCGAAACACTGGACGAGCAACAAACAAAACATCCTACAGTTTTGCAAGTCCAATAAATAAACAAACAGTCCATCGACAGCCGCAACAACACCGGTACGAGTACACGAGTACATACAGGATTCGACAGAATCAAATTCTCAACCACCGCAAGTACCTCGAGCTTAAAATTAGGAACTCTAGTCTAGAGAGGATGTTCTGCTTCAACGTTGTGGATGTCGGAGGAAGCTTGACCGAGAACGTTGGACGCGGTACCGGTTGCAATTCCCGCAACTCCAACATCTGGACCAGTAGTACGTCTGAGGTGTGACAACACATCATCTCCAACAACACTCCCAATGGTATCTACGAATAAGAATTAAACTGAGTTAGAGGGAATAAATCATTGAAACGCAGGTCGAATGAATTTATACCTGGAATATCGGCATTGGGGCCGGTAGGATGACGCAAGTTTGACACTATCCCATTATCAATTGAACCAAAAGCGTCACCTGGGAATTGAAATCGAGTTAGAAAGGACTAATCATCGAAAGAGAGGTCGAATATTTATGAGTACCTGGAATGGTGCGTTCTTGAAGACCGATAGGAGCACCGAGTGCAAACAAAGTAGAACCTGCCATTCCGACTTGGAATGTTTGTTGAAAGGCGGATGCGATGAGAGCGAAAACGACAAATTGTCGGAGAAAGATTGAAGATTGTTCAATGAATGAAGAGCGCATATTTGCAGAACTGTGGAGTGTTCGAGTTAGTATATCAGAAGAAATATACACGAGGTATGCGAGACTCACAATTGCGGTGGAATTCGAAAGTTTGGAATGAGTGTGGATGGTGAGTGTGCTGAAAACTCAACGGTTGACGATGAATTGGGGGTCCAACCCTCACCCTTTATATACCGATTTTCTTCATTTACGAAGTCAGATCAACTAGACTTGATGTTTCCACTTGCAAGTACCAAACACTTCACCTTATGACGAGGTGCGATGCATTTCGAGAAGATACGAAGGGACAGTAAATTCAGGACTTTCTATGGTGGTGGAATTCGTCAGCTGGCCGACACGGAGAGATCATGATGACTCTTACTTCGAGGATATAGAACTACATGCTCAATTTCTTCGACCGGAAAGGTTCCAGTCGAGGATCGTAGCTGTATTAACGTAGCGTACCAGTATGACCCGTGTTATTGCCTCTGTCAAATAGTCAGTTTGCGGTTTGTCACGGTATGCAACTGGATGTCAGCGCAGTCTGCCGCTGTAAAATTTAGCGAATAAGTACCGACGTACATCCACAAATCCATTGACATACAATGAAAAAGAACTTTCTGAAGCTGATAATCTAGCAGCGAGAATCAAGTTGTTCGGACGCGCCGCTGGTTTTGTGGTGTACATGACGCGTGATCTGCGTCGGAAGCACTGATGTGATTGGCAAAAATCGCTTCCTCTGAAGAGAGAAACCTGTACATATTTTGAATGAGCCAATCAGTGGGTTACACTAAAATCGCGAAAAGTGACAATGCGTACCTCGAAAATGCGGTCATGCGTATTTCAATGCAGCGTTCACAATATTGAGACAACAGAGAACAGGGAAATATTGTGACCCGACACACAGACAGTATGCAATGCATGCCATGGCAAAAAATTAACGTACACACGTAAGTTACAAAGTCCACCGCGAACAAAGGATTCAGCGACACCGAAAACAACATCGATCTAAATCATGACGAGCATCATAATAGTGGAAATTCGTGTATTTGAACCAGCTGACCGTGACATCCCACAAACTAACACAATTCCACAACCTCTTTGATTAAGGCTTTCACCTCTTTCTTCTTTACCACGGCCCCCTCTCCAGTGGGCGAAAGCAACGATTCTAAGACCTCTTTGGCTTGAAGTACTTCTAAGAGTGGTTTGAAGTTTCCCTCATATGATGATACTGGAGACAGGTAGAGTAGAAATCCGAGGCAAGCGGTCAGACGATGCGCTGAACAGGGGAGGATAGATTATCAGCATCATGTGGTAATTCAGTGGCACCACAGGAAAGATACTCACCAACATCCTCATTCAAATTCTTCACATCCTTCAACGCTTCCAACACAGCACTAATGATCTCAATTTCCCATTCTGCGTCCTGATCTTCTTCGTTTCCATTTCCATTCCCTCCCGCTTGACGATGTTTAGCCTGCACAACGGCGCTCAAATTAAAACCTAAACTGGCAGCAGCATTCTTCACATTCTTATCTTCGCTCAAAACAGCAGAAACGAATAAATTCGTCGCTAATGTCTTCTTCTTTCCGGAATTAGAAGCTGAAGCTGGTGAAAGGAAAGGAGATGAGAATGAATTGCATCCCAGCCGGAGAGTTGTCAGGATGAAATTACGAGAATCAGAGGGAGGAGAAGAGAGGGAAGAAAGAGCCTTGAGAAGAACCAAATCGACCAGATCGTTGGCAGAAGACGAGGAGGAGGAGGCAATGTGCGACGAGATGTTGGAATCTAGGATTGCAAGCCTCCACATATCTACCAGAGGGAATAGTTGCGCTGGTTGGAGAGAGCTGATCAGGTCTTTCGTCAAGTCAGTCCATCTCGTGAGCTGCTCTCTGCTTGGACTTGGGTGTTTAGCGGCTTGTTTATCTGTTGAGAAGCGCGCCTTGAGGAAAGGAATGAATTCCGCCGATAGGGTAGTCGAGTATGCCGAAGATGATGGTGGCAGAAGGGACGTGAATTTAGTTAGAACAACATCAAGGTTGGGGACCTGCGAAAATAAGATCGGGTTTGTCGAAATCTTCTGGAG